TTCAAAGAAAATAAGAAGATCCAATAGGGGCAGTCATATCACCAGTTTGTTAGAGATCGCCCCATCTGATGAAAGTACTATAGAGGTGGTCTCATCCAAGATACTGATTGTCTCATCAAATAGAGAAGACCCTACAAGGGCAGCCCTGCCAAACCACTTGATAGGGGCAGCATCACTTGATGATGAAAATAAAGCAGGGGCAATAGGTGAGGCCCACACCTTATCTGACGATTCTCAACATATCTTGAGGCTATATACTCCTCAAGAGCAACATGAAGTTGCAACTGAAAAAGATTACCGAAAAGGCAGGGGGTGATTACTTACTCCTCCTTTCAAATAAGCCAAGTGGGGTATCCATGCTCTGCTTAGGCATTCTACTCTATGGTATTGACAACCTAAGGAGTTGAAAATAGATTAAAAAAAATAAAATAAAAAAAATGAGCTTAACTAACCCAACAAGAGATTGAAGGATTAAGAAGTTGAGAGTGACTCTGAGTCTGAAGGTCAACGCATGAGTGAAGCAATCCAAGGTAGAATACAAGAATTCGACAACCTTTGTCAAGGAAGTATCATATACCAACTAGTGGCAATGAAAATCTAAGGATAACCAAGACTAGGACCTCCCTGCCACTAGAAGAAGGAGGGATGATCAAGTTTTTATCTTTGTTTTTTTTAAGGACAGAGTGCCCCAGATGGAAAATATTTCCATCTTCTTTAAAAGAAAAGAAAATAAAATGAAAAATCCACCGAGATGAAAATCGAAAAGAATCTCGAGCGTTGGAAAAAAAGCCACTGGGCTGAACACCTGAAAGGGACCCTAGCGACAAAGAAAGAAGGAAATAATAAAAATAAAAATCCGTCGGGCTGAAAATCTGAAAGGAACCCCGAGCGTTGAAAGAAAAAGCTATTGAAAACCTGAAAGGGATCCCGAGGTGATAAAAAAAAAAGAACTTCTTTATCTTTTCGTCTCTCCAAAATCTCCAGAAATTCTTCTCTTCTCAAGTTAGAATGACGTCAAAAAGCAAAATGAAGGCATCAGTTCAAGAAAAACCTGAAGAAGCATGACTATCTGAACTTCAAAAGAGTAATAGTGGAGGAATAAAATTGGACGTCCAAGGATATTCTAAGCACTTTGAGGCATATCCCATATTAACCAAGACACCGGTTTGCTCGAAAAAAACAAGAAAAAGTCTTCCTTGAATTGTAACATAAGAGCTAAGATTGGAAGATAAGGAAGTACTTAGTGATTCCTCGTTCTGAAAGTCTCAAGTAGAGGCTCGACGAGCTCATGAAAAATAAATAAAAAATAAATAATGAAGAAGAAAATAGAGCTCCATGGTAGCATGAGCTTAAACTGCTTACCAAAACTTGTTTTTCAAAATTTCTCATCTATCTTCAAAATTTCCCCTATGTGTTTTATGAGTTTTCAAAAATCTTAATTTCTTTGGTTAAAACGTAGCCCGAAACTCTGTTTCTGTTTCAAAATTCAATCTATCTTCAAAACCTTCTAAAATGTTTTAAAAAAATGAAGGAGTTTCATGGAGGCTTGGATATGATGTGTCTGTCGCCACCAAATCTTGGATTGCTATGCTTGCAAACCCTTAGGAAAACAAAGACCAACCCATAGGTTCCCATACCAAAAAGACTGGACATGTGGACCCCAAGAATCAGAATTGACGGCGAACAAGAAGTTCAATCAGCCAGAAATTCATCATCTCATCATTTATTCTAAATCAAAGTCCTATTCGATTGGAGAATGAGACCTTAAGAAAAAGGTCTAAAGTCGAAGATGACTACACTGGCAGCTTCCTATGTAGTATTGGAGTGACTACAATAAAGAGTGTCACCGGCTCAAAGATAGCACTGTTCATGTTGACTGTCACTTCGAATCCGAATTGTCGGAGACCTCTCAACCGCATTGACTCAAAGATAGCAGTGCCAGTTCGATGTCCTACGGATCAAAAGCATCCATTGGCGTACTGCCAACCCAAAGGGTATTGGTCACTCAAAAGAATGATCACTTGAAAAATGTTTTCCTTCCCACCGTGTCTCAAGACTATTCTTAGAGGTCAGTATATCTTTCTTTGCTTAATTTAGTTTGTTTTTCTTTATTCAATTCTTTGATTTATTTTATTTTTATGAAAATTAATTCATCATTATATTTAATTAAATTTAGAAGCATTTTTTTTGTCAAAATACGGATTGGGAGCTGGCGCTGCCAGTGGACTCAGAAAAAGACTAGATTTTCATTGATATGGGATTTTTCTGAGCCCATAATTCAAGCAACCCCACTCTCTCTTCCTTTTCAAATGTAACCAGTTTTTTTTTAAGATTTGAGCAAATCTCATCCTAGAGATCGACGCAAATCGGAGCGTAAAGTTTTCTTCAGGTCCTCGTACATCTTATTACTACCTAGGTGTATAGCAAAACGAGAGCAGTGAGCTTCCTTCAAAATAGCCCTCTTCACATTCTCATTATCCGAGATACAGACCCGATTTCTGAACCTCAATAAGTCCTCACTGCTCATGGAGAAGTCCTCTCTCTTTCCCAGCTTCATCTCTTTCAAAATTTTCATGAGTTGGGGATCCTTCTTTTGTGTTAGTCGTACCTATTGAAATAGTTGGTGCTCCATTTTTAGGTAAGCCATCATATCCACCCTATTACCAAAGGGCAAAGTTGGGTGCCATTCCACTGCATCTTCCAATAATTTTATCTCTCTAACCATTAGGTGAGCCACTGATATTACAAGCTTTCTACAAAAAGCATCTGCTACCACATTGGTTTTGCCCATGTGGTAATTAATGGTACAATCACAACCGTTCAATAGATCCACCCATCTCCTTTGCCTCATGTTCAATTCTTTCTAAGAGAACAGATACTTGAGACTCTTATGATCCGTAAATATCTTGAATTGGGCCCCATAGAGGTAGTGTCTCCAGATTTTCAAGGCGAATACTATAGCCACAAGTTCCAAATCATGGGTTAGGTAATTCTGTTCATATGACTTTAATTCTTTGGAGGCATATGCAATGACAGTCCCTCGCTGCATAAGTACACATCCGAGCCCTTTATGAGAGGCGTTGGTGTAGACTGTAAAGTCCTCATTTCCTTTGGGTAAGGTCAGTACCAGGGCTGTGGTCAGTCTCTTCTTTAGTTCTTGGAAGCTTTTCTCACAGTTGTTTGACCACACCAATTTCACATTCTTCTAGGTTAGACGAGTCAAAGGTAGCGCTATATTCTAGAATCCTTCTACGAAGCGCCTGTAATATCCTGCTAACCTCAGAAAACTATGAACCTCAGTCACATTTATCGGTCTCCCTCACTAGAGTACGGCTTCTACCTTGGAAGGGTCAACCGCGACCCCATCATTAAGCATATTGTGCCTGAGAAAGGCCGCACTAGGAAGCCAAAACTCACCGTTGCTCAACTTAGCATACAATTTCTTCAACTTTAAAGTTTGAAGGACTATTCTTAGGTGCTGCTCATGCTCTTCTAAACTCTTGGAGTACACCAAAATGTCATTAATAAAGACCACAACGAAATCTTCCAAAAAGGGTATAAACATTCTATTCATCAGATCCGTGAAAACAGCTAGGGCATTAGTCAAACCGAACGACATCACTAGAAACTCATAGTGGCCGTATCAGGCTCTGAATGCGGTATTGGAATGTCTCCCTCCTTGACCCGTAGTTGGTGATAATCCGATCTAAGATCAATTTTCGAAAACACTTAGGCCCCATGAAGCTGGTCAAAGAGGTCATCAATCCTAGGCATGGGATACTTGTTTTTCACTGTTACTTGATTCAACTCCCTATAATCAATACAAAGCCTCAGGGATCCATCATTCTTTTTCACAAACAAGACAAGTGCACCCCAGGGCGACACAATGGGTCAGATGAACTCCTTATCCAACAATTCCTCTAATTGCTCTTTCAACTCTTTCAATTCTGTCGGGGCCATTCTATAAGGGGATTTAGAGGTGGGAACAGTACTAGGAACCACATCTATCTCAAACTTTATCTCCCTTACTGGAGGTAAGGATGATAGTTCTTCGAGAAGGACCACTAGGTATTCTTTCACCACTGGTATCTTCCCTAAGTTGGTCTGAACATCCCGATTCTCGACCATATAAGCTAAGTATCCAACACACCGTTTTGCCAATAGATGGTGGGCCCAAAGGGCCGAAATAAAATGTAAAAAGGATGTGTCTTTGGTACCGGCAAGGAGTAACTCAAGTCGGTTAGCGTGCTTAAGGGCCACAGTTTTGTCATGACAATTTACTGTAGCATAGTGTGTGGATAACCAATTCATGCCCAAAATGATATCAAAGTCCTGAATATCCAAAAGTATCAAATCTATGGGCAGGATACACCCTTCAAGAAAAACCCCACATTGTCTATAGACCATATCAGTTTCCATAGTCCCCCATGGGTGTGCATGCCACTAAAGTCCAGTCAAGCAGTGAAGGTTCAATGTTCATATGACATGCAAAGTGAGGAGCAACAAAGGAATGAGAAAAACCAGAGTCTATCAAAATTCTAGCTTCCTTACCACAGATAGAGAGCGTACCTCGGATCACTGAGGTAGACACTTAGCTTCCAGTTTCGTGAGTGCAAACACCCGATTCTGAGTCTTTGATTGGTTATCTGGCCTTTTCGCGAGGCTATCCTTGATTAAGTGGCCAAACTTGCCACAACCAAAACATGTTTCCGACCTCCTGGAGCACTCAACCGTAGAGTGGTTATTCATTCTGCAGTGGAAGCAGGTCGGGCCTCGATTATCCCTCACGTCACCCACAAGTGTCCTTTGAATTTTAGAGTTACCCTGATAAGTCCTTCCTCTGAAGTTTCTTCTAAGAGGCGGCCGAGTCTTCCTCCCAACATTCCCAGATGGTGCGGGCTTTACTCTTCCTTCTTTTCTTAACCGAAATTCCTTGCAATCTTCCTCAATCTTCATAGCGAGGTCTACTAATGGGGAGAACAACTTACGGTTGGCTGATATTACTCTCCCTCTGATATCCGGAGGCCCCTCTCAAACTTCCTTGCCTTACACGTCTCTGTATTGATAATGTGGGGCACGTACCTAGAGAGCTCCACGAATTTAGCCGCATATTGCTCTACTGTTATCCTCCCTTGTTGAAGCTTGATAAACTCTACTTCCTTCCTCTCCCTGACAGAAATAGGGAAGCATTTCTCATCAAATGCAACTAGGAAGTTCTCCCAAGTGGCCTCAGTCCATGTCTCCCTCCAACACTGCTTTACCGAATTCCACCAGTGTTTAGCCTCCCCGTTCAGCATGAAGGGTCCCAATCTGACCTTCTGCTCACCCAAGCAGTTCAACACATCCAGAATTTTCTCCACTTGTCTCTTCCATCTTTCGGCTTTCTCTACTCCCCCATGCCCCGAGTATGCTGAGGGTGACATCCTCCTAAATTTCTCAATCAGACCGCTCTCTGCCTGGTCCGGAGCAAGGGTAGCCGAGGTCGGCATACTGTCTTTCATAATCTGGTTCATGGCCCCAAGTGTCTTAAAGAACTATCCGAAGGCATCGGTGTTCTCGTTATTGGAACTCACATTGTTGGCACGAGTCCTCATTATCATCGACCTATCATAGGAACACCCAGTTACTAGCCTATCTAAAAACCATCCTATGGACACTTCTAAGACTCTCTAGGCCAAGAGTCCTATCTTGGCTACTCTGATGATACCATAATTGTCACGACCATGCCCTCTGAACCCCCCTCCCGCTGGAGGGCGACAGAGTACGGGTCCGTGATTCAAGGGTAGCGAATGCCACTCAGGTCGGAGTACACTCATCGCTTCATAAAGTCAGAATCAAAGCAAACCATGAAATAAAACAAAAACTTCCAATACGAATATACACTTATTGAACCAATAAAAACCATTTATATATATATATATATATATACTCCAAAATTATTACGATTGAGTTCCAAGGCACCAAAGCCCAACAACAAAATACATAACTCAATAAAAACAACAACATGGCCCACGACCATCTAACACCTACAGCCAAAAAGCCTCTGTGTCAAGTGCAGTCCTGCAGCCACCAAAACGATTAAAAACCAAATCCAAAGAAAAAGGTCTAAGACCAAAGACCGAAGATGACCACACTAGCATCCCAAGTAACATTAGGGTGACCTCAACAAGGAGAAGTCAACAGCTCAAAGATAGCACAGTTCTTGGGAAGAGCCAGGGGGAAATGATTAAAATACCCATGCACCCGGGCCGCGCGACGCGTCGAGCCGTGCAACACAGCCCGTGTCACCTAAGCTTGTGCACCACGCCGCGCTTTGAACCGCACAACAGTCTGCGTGTAGTGCAACCAGATTGGCTTGGGGATGTGTGTTTTCACCCAAATTTTGAGATAAATATGATTAAGGTGGTGAAAATTCTAAATATTCCAGGAAATCTGAAAATTTCAACATCTTTGACTAAATATGGACCTTTGAATTATATTGGCCTATTTGCTATCATAACCCTAGCTTAACCTATAAATACTCCATCTAATATGCAAGAAAAATACACTGAAATCCCTACAAATTTAACTTAGGAAAATCCTTAGAAATTATTAGATAAATCCTAAAAAAATCCAGAAAATAGGAAAAACCTTTAGATAAATCTTATAAATTAAAAAAAAAAATAGAAAAATTCTCCACAATACTAAAACTTAAAATTCGTATTAGACATTAGGAGATCCCAATTCCCTTAGAAAATTAGAAAAATCCATCTCCCAACCTTAGAAAAAATTAAGGAAACCCCTGCCTAAAACTCCCTAGACCCTTACTAGCCTTAGGAACCCAAGATCTAGGTATAATAACCTTAGATCCAGCAAATTCCAGCAAGCAAAAGACATCCATACAGTAGATAATGGCACGAGAAGAGCGACCTAATCCGAGCATGAAACTCTAGGTTTCGGGACCCCAAGGTAAGTAACTCCTCTTTTTTTTCTTTTAGAATAATTTTAGTTTATTTTTTGGAATTTATTTATTTTTAAACTTAGAAAATTTCAAAAAATTTTGTAGGTCTTATACATAAATTTCTAAGCCGGTTCTCCTAGTGGACTCAGAAAAGGACCGGATATATATAGATCTACAATGTGTTTTAGCCCATAATTTGAGAGACCCCACTCTCTACAGATCTCAAAAAATTTAACTTGTTCTGCATGAGTTTGAGTTGATCTCGCTCTGAGTTCGACGTAAATCCGAGCATAAACATAATTACTCAAAACAATTTAATAATGCTTATCTTCTTGCTCCAAATAAATTCTAAAAATTCTTAAAAATTATCTAAATGATTTTCAACCTAAAATACTCATTTTGGCATCAAAATAAAATTGAAAAATGTATAAATGAGATCTCATGGCTAATATGTCAGAGTACTCCACTGAGCTAGTTCTAGAATGATGATCCACTTTTTCGGAATGACCCAACAAGCCTATGCTCGACAATCTTTGGTAGAGATGCATAAGATGGCAACTTAAAGTCACCCAATTAACACCCTAATACTCTCAGATGTCAATCAATTATAGGTGCACCCCTGGGGACATTGTAGTACTCGTATACAGGGTCTTCTCAAGGCATATGTGCACTAGCACATCTTAGTTGGTTTATAGCACACTAGAAAAGTGGTTTCCCATTCGATTGTGGGTGTACATACAATAAGATGGTCTAGTGTCAAAGTATCGACTCATGTCCCTTGAGTAATGACTATCCTATACAAGGTCATTACTCTCAAGGTACCCGAGTTTTGGTCTCGTTCTTGTTGTCTTTTCCCTGACCATCGCACCATCCATGAAGCATATTATCTTAATGTATGCCTGACTAGATGTGACCCTCACACCTCCAAAAGTTCTCATTCATATAATCTCATTGCCTCATGTATATAGGATATATGATTCTACGCCCTAGGGTGCCATGCACCTAGATCATGTTCTCTCACTTACTCCCATTGGAAGCAAGAAGCCTGGTTTTAAGACCTTGGAAGGCCATAACTCTAAAATTCTCTCACTTGGACTTTTGAGGCTTTATATTCGTGTAGTATTCTCTCGCACTCTCAAGCCCTCATATACTCGGACATCGACATCATACAAGCATATACATGATAATGACAATGATACTCAAGAAAAACTGTGATCTAAAATATCACATAATTTATCGCATGTGATCCACATTCTGCACACACATAATACTCGTAAATCAAACCACACATAATCCATATGCCAACATTCCATATTGTGCTCATGCCAATGCCCGTTATGGTCTTGCAAATGCAATGCCCCTTTTAATACTCACATTTTCTCAGTTTCATATCACACTCGCATCCATCAGCCTATCCATTCACATGCATTCTCGTGGATTTTTAATGCCTTCTCCTCATTCTCATGCAGGTTCTCACACACATGCTTATATCTATACGAACACCCATGCTGATGTTCACAAACACACAAAGTTTCAAGTATATGCACAAATCCATATACTCCTATATTCCTATGTAATACTCATGCAGGCATTCAGATGTTCACAACACTATGTTCATGTCAAATGTCAAAGTATCACACGCTTGTACTCACATTCACTCCCTTGGTGCACAAGACTTTTCCATGCATGATTAGGGGTGTGGCAAGGGACATTGGTTCCTTAAATACCATTTCAATTTGCATTATGCTCATAATCTAATTACTTTCATTACTTAATGGGTGCAGTTTTTATAAGGTTGCAACCTTAAACAATCAAATTAAGGCACACCTCCAAATTTTATCATAACATGTAATTTTTATATAAAAAATTCATAGGATTATCTTAAAATATATTTTCATATGTAATTATAAAATTTTAAACTTCAAAACTAGTTAAAATCAAGTAGATCTATAAACATATGGAAATCTTGAAAACGGATAATGTGTTGCAAGAAACACTATTTTTGGAACTCAAAATTTTCTTTTTTTATATATTCATACATCTCGATGTAAAGATGATCAATTAGAGGGTTTTTAAACATTAAACAACCTTTTCCCAATAAATTTTTGAGGTGCATCTGTAATTCTACATTTTAAGGTTTCAACCTTATATAAACTTTTTCCTTACTTCATATATTTGGATTTCATGGCAAAGTGGTGCCATCATGGACCGATTCCATCAGTCCTAGCCACATGACCAAAGGTTCACCCAGTATAAATCCTTAGGGAACCATGTAACCAAGCACACATAGATTTGGAACATTAAGGACAAAACCTAATGCAAAGTGTGACTTAATGATATTTAATTTGTTTTTCTTATATTCTACTCTTACAGGTTATCTTTAGGCAATTTTGTTAAGTATAACCAATTGAATTAAATCAAGAGCTTAGGTGACTTGCCCATGAAGAATCAAGAAAGGAAGATTCAAACAAACCAACATTAGGGAATGATTCAGGCAAAGGCAACACAAGAAAAGAAGAGCCAAATCCTCCCACTACGACGAAGTTAACTTTGATCTCTATTGATGTACAAAATGAGGCACATATGCCCTCACAATGAGGCACATATGCCCTCAAATTTTCATCTCGATTCGATTGAAAAAACCTTAAAATTGAGCAAATGAAAAAAGTCCAGGGCATTTTCCATGTTTTCATTTTTCAGGTGAATTTGTTGCTGCATGAGGTCAAAATCAGCATTCCACTTTGATTGTAGCATCCCTAGTTGCCAAAATAGAAGTCGTAATACCAAATTTCTGGTTGCTAAACCACCCCTAAACCTTCAGTGCATCATATAGTTTCTGAAGACTAGTGATTTAAAATCTGTCGATTCAATTCTAAATTGACAAAGTCTGATTAGACCTCATAGGTTACCAGGCTAATTCTGACCTAGACGCAAACGAGTGACCAATAACCTAAAAAACTAAAAAAATTGTGCATGTTAGGTTTTTTTTTCTTTTTATCAATGATTCATCCATTGTTATTAACCCCTGAAATCAACTGATTAAGACCCCATTTTTAATCTAAAATGGGTTTTTTTTTATCAATTTGAGATTTTGATGAGTTTTTCTCATCAAAATATCACGGTTATTCAAACCCAGAAAACCAATCCGGCGTTCTTCAAACTTCTTACTCGATTTTGAACAAAAGAACTTGGAATTCGTTTCAAATTATTTGTATTTAAGCCGACCTATCAAGCATATCAAAACCAAAATGAGAGAAATCTAGTTTCCAAATTCTAGGGGTTTTCCGAACCCAAAAGAAAAAAACCTTCAATTTCTTGATCAATTTTCACGAATTTCATTTAAATTTGTCCTAAAATGTTCCAATGATATTGGTCTAGAAATGGCCTACCGAGTATTTTTTCAATCAAAACAAAAAATCTTAAATTCTATTTGTTTTTGTTATTTTTCGGTCATTTTCCTTTCACCTTTTTCCTTCTAAGTTTTTTTTTTTTTTTTTGAGTTT